GGAAGCGCGTCGACATATATACAGTGCTGCAGACTAAGTTGATGGGAGGACCGATGCTACTAGGTGTCGAAAGAGATTCATTTCTCTACCCCGTTCTGCATCATAGCATCCAATTCCGACCGTGTCACTCTAAGAGTACAGACGGGTTGGTTACTTACACCTCAGTAGCGGCCTTTGTTCTCCTTTTACTTTTGCATGTAAGGGTAAAGTATCCTTCCCACAAAATGAGGAGGAAAAGCTAAAAATATAATCGTAAAACATTACAAAATGCCCTAGCTGCATATGCCTAATCTTCAGTCAGTGATGATACTATTTTTAACCGTATCACCCTGAAAAAACACGTTTTAAAATACACGTAATCTATACTTATTTAATACGCAAGCAGGTTTTTTGTAACAATTACTCCTCCAAAACTACTGAACTAATTGACACGTTTTTGGTGTCATTGGAAAGAGCGTAACGTGAAGTTGTACAGGAAACTTTCTTTTTATAGAAATAATTAGAGAGTGAGGCCCTAGGGTCCTTTAAAGTTTCGTATTTCTTCATAAGATTAACATGGGAAACAAACATTGTTTGTTATGAAACTCCAGCTGTTGTCAGAAATTAAAAGTGCGAAGAAGAACATTTTGCTAATTTAACAGTTTGCTACAAACATTTACTTACTTGGTTGAAATGAAATATTTACAATTTTAATTTGGGTTGGCGTAAATATTACATTGGAAAAACGCAAGAGAGCCTGGATAAATTGATATACTAAAAACAAAACTGAATTAACACTGTGCTGCATTTCTTAGTAATCATTGAAAGAACCGATTTGCAAACTATGGGAACATTGGAAAGTCATAGAACACCACCAAGGATAAGAAATAGAAATAATGTTTTTTAGAATTTATAGTCGTTATTATGTACAACCTAATGCGGCTATGAGTAAGGCTATTTGTAGAAAACAATAAAAACAAGATCAGCTTTTGAAAAATGATAAGATATTTACAACAAATGTTGAGTATATCGATCTGTTATATACATCTTGAGTATTTCCATAATCTTTGAGTCTAATCTTTTAAAGTCATCAGAAATTATGACTGTTATTTGTTTAAAATAACGCACAGGCGATTAAGTATCACAGGATACTTAGCAATTGCTCGAATTCGAGCAACAGGGACACTAGTACATTTTAAACCCGGACAAAATTCTATCGAACATTTCCTTCAAAACATTTTGCATTGCCACAATTGGAAATGTGCTCACCAGAATCAGGGCATATCCTGAAATTTCAACAGGTTAAATCTGTTTCCACATTAGATTGAATCTTTTAATGCATTGTTGAAACACTCACCACAGAACAGCTGATCATGACCTCATCTCCCATCATGCACTTCGCCGCTCCTCTTTCACGAACATGTTCACCAATTAACAACCTATTGGCGATCATATCGAGACTGACTGCTGGTTAATAACTTTAATGTGTTGGTATTGAGTGGATACTCCCACCTATGTAGTGAGCATGTATTGTAAAGAGATGATGTCAAACTAGTTTTTTTAAATCGAGGTACGCGACGCGACGAGGTGGGGACGCAAAAGAATATAATGTTGTCATTGTGTTTTTCTAAGAAACAGTTTAACATCCACCATTTAATTGTAACTTAAATAATTAAATACTAAGTTGTCAGTTTAAGCATAGTTGAAACCTGTTTCCATATACATTTATTGTCGTGTTGAGTCTGCTGGTAAAAATTTGAAGGGGTAGAATGTTCTTTGTTTACAATTTATCTCTTATAAACTCTCACACTCTCATACATTTAAAAACATGTTTCATCAAGATCAATAAAAGTGTTTAAAAAATATTTAACTAATATGTAAACAATTGGAAAACTTATATACAAAATGAATATACGGTATCAGCAATCTGACATATTCTTTCCCCCATTAGCTTGTCAACAACCTTTATCATGGGTAAACGGTGGGAATAACTATGATATTTAATAAGGAAAATCAAAAAATCCTCAATAACCCTTGAGCCGTAATTTTTACAGGAATGGGGGGGTTGCACTATTGTTTAGAAAGACCATAACATACTAATTTTAATCAAAACCAAAGTTTTTCAATAAATTCCTTTTTTTATTTTATGTGGTTTTTAATAAGAAAATAACAAAAGTTACAATAACTTTTGAACCATAATTTTGACAGCAATGAGAGTTACATCATTTTGTTCAGAATTTAAAGGGATATAACATACTAAAATTATATCAAAATCGTTCTGGCCATTTCCTAGAAAATTCGACTGTTCTATTAATTTATAGAGTTTTATAGAAAAATCACCATTGAAAATCAAGTTGAAAAAAAATGGAAAAACATACTTGGAAATATCATGGACTAATACCTGAGGATAGTAAGACGGATGTATCCACTCAAAACACACTAAAATGTTGACGAAAACAATAGTAATTTCTCCTTATACTATGGTATAAAGGGAGAAAGTAAAAGTGTGAGCACTAAGAAGTAAACATTAATTTACTTAAGGAAAAAAGACTCACTATTCATAATACTTTATATTGTATAATCTGCTCTGAGGTATAATATAGAAACAGTGTGGACGTAACTGCGTGTGTCTACTGAAGTTTCCTGCGCTCCTGATACCTCGGAGGTCCTGCCCGCAACCTGCTAGAGGTTTGGAATACCATCACCAGTGTGAATCACTTCCCCAGTGTCATAAATCGTTTACCGGTCCGGTACCATTGACTAGTAGGCTACACACGATGTCGTGGTATCTCTTCCAGGTGATATCTGACTATAACACCTGATCCAACCTATGCCACAAGAAAAAATACAAAATCCTGATAATTTAATTATTTTTTCCTACCACCTGACAAAGTGGGCTTCCTTGCACTGATAATAGCACGCCAAGTACAGGTTAAGTGTAAGAGAGGGCCATGTGGCCCCTGTGGCCCTAACTTTGGCTGATTAAATAAATCATTTTCATTCATTCAAGTAGCTAACTGCTGTATTTACTTACTTTTTAGTAACTGTAGGAAAATATAATGTGTAATTCGAGTGCAAAGTGCCACTTTGCACACTAGTTACACACAAGTATAAATATTTCTTTTCATTTTGTTTTGTGGTTGTTTACTATTTTATTCATTACTTAACTTGATCATGGCCCAAGAGCCAAAACATGTTAGTTGTTTGGTAAAATTAAAATAATAACTTCAAATGTGTTTTTCTTTAATTATTTATTATTAATTACTATAATATAGCCAATCTATAAGAGTAAAATGTATAACTAAGGAAAACTTATTCCTTGTTTTGCAGTAAATTCCTGTATTGTTTTATTATTTATAAGTCGACAGTTCTTTGCATTCTTGACGTGCGTTTGTAAAATAACAAATACACTGCATATTTTAACCTACACTAACCTAACCTAACATGAACTAACTGCCCAAACCTAGCCTGATAAGAAATAAGTTATTGCAGCGTCCAGTTAAATAATCAACAAACAGTCTTTTTAGGTTTTGATGAGTTCAAACAAAATCACTTTCAGCCTTCTTGTACAGAAGCAGGGGTTGAGAATTATCTGCAAAATAATCCTTGAGTGAAAGGTAGTGAGTTTCGGAGAAGTTGTTACAAATAAACTTTATGACTACAAAATGTCCGCGGTCGTACGCTATACTAAATATATAGCTAATATATCAAGATAAGATCTAATTACTTAAACGTAAATAATTCCTTATAGCACCACACAATGCGATAATTTTAAAAGGTTTAAGAGTAGTTATTTTATACATAGGAATTCGATCACCGGCTTTCACAAACTTTCAACAATTCCAATTTTTGTTGGTAAAACCGTTGGGTTCCTACCCAATGGACCATTTCATAGATAATATATACAATCGGTAAAAAGTTGAAGACAGACACAGACTGGTAGATGACATGTTATTTATGAAATGGTTCATTGTTGAGAAGCATAACCTGCGGCGATGCTGACTAGCAGGGCATTGAAGTGATCTTCTCATATTATTTCGAAATTGTGCTATAGAGACGATTAAATCTTTCTAATAAATAAACGAATGACATCCGAAATTTGCTAATGTTAAGGGATTTGCTTAGCAGACGACTTTGGGTTCAAGAATAGTGGAGTTGTGGGAAGGATGTCTAATTCGGCTGGGTCGAATTGGACAATATTCTAAATGTTTAGGAAACGTCTAAAAGAATGTATACATTTCCGAATTCGTTCTATCATAGATAAAACCTACTCCATTAGTAGATTTCTCATCCTTATGGAACAGCTTAAGCCAATTTTATTGTTAAGTTCTGTCCGGTGCACTGTAGATGTCGTGTTTTGCTATTTCAGTCATTTAAACCCTCGTTCAACCAAATAAATAAATCAGAAACAATAACTCGTTCCCTAGTTATATAACTTACCATTAAAGCACAAATCACGAAATTAACCCTAAAATAATAGGAACAATATTTTGTCGACACTAGCGATCAGTGTCACCGAAAACTAGACACGAAAACGAGCTTCAAAATGTACAATAGAGTCATAACACCTATCCGGGAATAACTACTCGCACGGGCCACATCATATTTGCACCGTAAACTGCGTTAAACACTTAATTCCTAGCCTTTCAGCGTAATATATACGACCGACCCTTAGCCTGCCTGACCATAGACTAACCAATACAAGTAGACTTATAATCCCATTGTAAATTTATAAGCTCGTTTTTCGTGTCTAGTTCATGTCCGGTGACACTGATCTAGTGTCGACGAAATTTTGTTTCTATCATTTCAGTGTTAATTTCACGATTTGCGCTTTACCGTTTGGTTAAACTAGGGGACGAGTTATCGTTCATGATTAGATCATTTTATTTGACGCGGTTTTAAATTGATGGAATAATAAGAAATGAATTGTAAACAAAACACGACCTCTACAGAGCACCGTACAAAACTACCGCAAATTGTCTTCAGCTGTTCCATACGGATAAGAAGTCTACTAAGGGAGTATGTTATATCTATGGCTCAACCCTAAGACTGTCCCACAACCCCTGGAGAGGGTGAGGTCCACGAGAGCTCTGGCCCAGTGCCCAGGAGCCCAGAGGTATATATGGCGCAGGAAGTCCGCGCCGCGTCCAGTCGTCATGTCCCCCTCAGTCGCGCTCGTCCTGCTCCTCGTGTCCTCGGTCCTGGCCCAGGACTCGTTCCTGGAGACCGCCCGCGCCGCCTGCTTGCGACAAGGACATCTTCTACCCTGCGCAAAGTACAAGATTGCCAACTTCGTACATAGGATAGCATCTAGTCAACGCTCCTTGGATGTGAGTTCCGATTTGTTGTGGTTTAGACTGGAAATACATTTTACACCTTTGACTAGTGATATACACCATTCCTATGTTTAAATTGTAGCTTGAATAAAATGCCCCCGCCGCAGCAAACCTGCTGAATGCGAATTTAATTTTTTCTTATTGGGTTTACACTCAAATGTCTCGTCAAAAATGTATATCTCACTAATTTTCCACGTGAAGTATATAATTCCCATGTTAAGCGATTTTCTACGGATTGGGACGGACTTTTAATTTAGATTTGGTTAAAAACCCATAAGGAGATCTTATATTTTCAGCTATTTTTAAGGCAATCTTCAAACTTATGGACTTTAAATTGTAAACTTGACAAATTAACCCCGATCAACATTAATTCAGGACATATAATTTTGTGGGATTACTCAGACCTGGAAATGCATTACCTATCACTAGGTTTGATTAGGCAGTTTAAAAATAAAAAAACCCTGCCGCCTAGGGTAGAAAATTGTTTATTCTAAACTATAGAATTTGTTAATTTGTTCTTTGTAAAAATTCAAAACGTTTGGTAGTGAAGGTCAAGTTTTAGTTGTCTATTCTACTACATAATACTCACTGTAATAACTTATTTTGATTGAATAGCAACATAAATTCAAATAGCATTGAGTATGCTGATTTTGAATATTACTCCGCATACAATTTTCGACCTTGAACTTTTTGTGGAATTTAGATGATCGTTATACTTTTAAAATTGTACACAGCCATTTAAAACTAAATTGGAGAGCCTGGTTTTAACTTAATAAGTCAATTTGTACTTATATTTTTTAGGTTAAAGGTAATTTGAGCAAAAAGCCTCTTTAATATTGTCAATGCATTTTTTGGTCGATTACTTAAGGACACCCAGTCTTTATAGTTTTACATAATTCCATCGGTATAATTTATTTGTTTTCAATAGCAAAATGAGCTGCGATACTACAAAGTAAGTACAAGTATATACTTGATACCCTAAATATAATTTAACTAAAATTTGTTTTAAATGTTCAATAATGTTCTTTTTAGGCCTACCTAGGTATTCAAGGTATTTGGATCCTTTGAATGTTACATTCATTGGTGAAATACACATTGAAATAATTACTTTTAAATTATTTGTGATATGAATTTGTTTATTATTTTTTGTAAGTGGTTATTTTAATTAAGCCTTAAATAACTAAAAAAAAAAACTCATTAAAGGTACTGAAAATTTAAAATTTATCTATAAATCATTTGACCCATGAAACTCTTCTTTTCTTTTATCAGTATTCGTATTGAATTCATAACATCAATTCAAGTTGTCTATTTAACAGTTCACCATGATACTAAATTATTTTAGCGTTGTATTAACAATAATATGGTAATTTAATATTCTGTCCATCTTCCTATCTAATTAGTTTACACAGTACTCTAAACGATTTAGCTCAAATATTTCTTTAACGGATTTTTGCAATCAATGTATAAATTATTTAGTAATGTAGTAAATGACCACAAATATCAGGAACATATCAAACTACAAACCTCAAATTTGATTTAGTCTTGGAACGGCTAAAATAAAAATCATTAAATTCTATGGAGTAGTTTTTTTAACGCTAATGTAAATAACATTAATTTATTATTTTCGAAATAAATGTTTTTATGAAAATGTGTACTTATGGTAATGAAAATGTCGATTATTCTGTACAAAAATTATTTTTATAAAAGTAATATACTGCATATGAACACGGGTTTTTATGTTTAATTTAAATCTGAAATACTTCGAAAATTAATTTTGAACCACTTTTTGTGAACAGTCTTCAACCTTTTGCACTTCCTTAACGAAGTTTCGTTAACATTTAAATTTAAGTAGGTACACCATGTTTAAAACCTTTAAAAATTATCAACATGTATAATAATAATACTAAAATAGGCTGAATGTATTTTGTATTTATTTTCATATTATATTGGATATTTTAATTTTAAAATCAAAAGAACCAAATCGTTTAACATTTATAGGGAAAATAATCAAAAATAATTTGTAATTCCCAACAAATATTTCGTGTGCATCTTTTTATGCTCTGGTGAAAAAGGCTCACGATTTGTTAACGTTTAAAATCTACATTTTAGACACAATTTTTTGAATAGCGTTAAAATAATTGTTGATTCATTCATAACACATTACATTTATTAAATATTAAATTTGCAGTCACTATAAATCAATTAATTGAGATGAGAAGTTAATTACCACTGAGTTAACTATGAATCTGATTTAAATTAAACTATTAATAATTAGATTTTAGAAATGTACTGTATAGAAACGATGTTTCTGAATAGTGGCATAGTTTCTTAAAACGTATAAACCAACACATGAAGCATTAACTAAAAATACTGCAAGGAAATAATTAAATAAATACAGTTTACATAACTTATATGAAGTCTTAAATGAAACCTTAGGTATTTAAACGAGAATATATCTTTGTTAATAGGATATTTTAAACATTTTTAATTATTTGTAAATTTTCAGTTGTATTGTTATTTGGTAGCCGTAAAAATCTCCTTTCTTTAATTTTAATTTAAAGTGTTACAATGTGGTTTGGTCAAACTAAACTTTGATCAATAGTCATGTTATTTGACGTAGTTGATTTTTCTAGTACATAAAAGCTTAGAGTGAGAATTCCAAATTGTTTACAAAGTGTTTAACAGCGCCCAGTTTGACAACAAACATTATTATTACCACTTAGTTAAATACCGACATTTATTATTTTATTAAATTATTAGTTAATAAATGAATATAAAATAATATTTCGTAACGATTGTTATACTAAAACTATTACGGTATATTTTGTTTTGTAATTTAAAAAATAAATTTTACAATTATTTTAATTCATGTTTTAATTGTTTTAAGTGAAGTATGTGACTTATTATCCAGTAAAAAAAATTTGTACTTAGGTGATATAAATATGTATAATAACGCTATGTGCATGCTAGAAAAAAATCTATGGTAAAAATAATTTACAATTAAATGTTAATAATAAATTATTAGCGATAATACATAAGATTCTTACCTATTCCATTCTATTGATATTTTACATAAAAAGAAATTGAATAGTCGTATAGTGAATGTGTTTCACGAGATTAAAAATAAAATTCCAAACAATTAAAATAATACTATTGTCATTTATCCACATAAAACTGTCACGTAAAACCTGCAGACTAGAAGAATATCCATTTGTCCGATTGGATTTTTACTAAAGAATCTCTTTAAATATCATACTTATTCTCTATTTTTAAATAACATTATTTTAAAGAGTACTGATGTATTATGCTACAGGAAAGTAATAACATTTTGATAGCTTAGTATAAAATAAACAGTTTAATCAAAATATTATGTCCATAAACAATTTATTCTCCATAAAATAACATGATAATTTTAAATGTACAACATTTTTGAATTTTCCCCTTGAACATTAAGTGCACAGCACTTCGATATACCTAATAATTTGTATTTAAACTATAAAAATAGTTTAGAAAGAAATTACGACATTTAATATTTTAGGACAAAAATGGGAAACCTCAATATTACCCCATACACCACAGTTTCCATAGTCCAATCATGCTGGTTCGCAAAATCGGCAGAATAAACAAAAGGTTTACACTTTTGAACCAAATTTTATCATTTCGGTTGATTTTTGCTCGAGTTACCGCGCTAACGGACACACATGCCGTACTTTGTGTACACAGCCCCTCAAGTCATATTGATTATTCATGACTAGAATATATAATTACCAACATTCTACCTTTCTAACTAGATAAGTGACTCTTCGGCTGAACTTTAGCTCTGCTTGTAGTTAATTTAAAACTACGAAGAGCAGTGAAAGGCGTGATGTATTTCTGCAGTTGGCAACACTTTTCATTACTTCAGAGCGATATATTGCTTACAGTGGCAACCCTGCATGCAAAATACTTGGTCCAATCTAGTCATATAAGTTATGCATTTTCTCGCATGTTAAGATTTCATTTATGACCTTTATGCAACTAAGTTGAAAATGTAATGTAAGCTAGGCTGTAATTCAAAATAACGAATTGCTAGATTGAGATGGTAGTTCCACTAATTGAGAAACTTCCGGGGCGTTAAACGTGGTAGGAGCGCGGTACTTCGGTCCATGAGGCGCACGGTTTCAAATACTATGAACTGTCTATGACTATGAACTATGAATCATCATGGTTTTAGCAATTTGCTTACGATAAACAATTTTCTTTACTGTACACATAATTTTTTATGAAAATGAAAAAAAAAACTAAAGAGGAGTAGTAGGCCTACATGAAAAATGAAAAGAAGAAACATAACTTAACAAATTGCCCACCCTTTTTTGGAGACTCGTCCTACTACCGTATGATGTATTTGTGCAGAACACTGAACACCGTTCATAGTCTATCCTATGCATCCGCAATCATATCTTATTCGGTTGAGTCAATAATACAGCCAAGTAGAAAAACTTCCGACTGCTCTAAATGATGGAGAAATTCTGTCACAATCACGACGCAACCGTTGCAACAAAGATCCAAAACTATTATTTTACAATTCGGCCTAACCCACATATTCCTCACGACCTTCTAATAACTGGCTTAATTTATTGACAGAGCCTTTAGAAAGCGAAACACGCGAATAAAACTTAAAGAAAGACTTTCGCCAGACCGGTGAAGCCAGAAGCAGGTTCCGTTTTGGGACAGACAACTGGACTGGTCTGATTTTGTGCAGCCGTGGGACAAGTTACAAGAACTTGAGAAAGTGGATTAGATTATTTTCTACACCACAAAACGTGTCCCACATATTATTTGGGAAAGCAATAATTTTACATAAATCCAATTTTATTGCAAACTCAAATCATAGACAAATTTTTGGTGCTCAAATATTCGTCAGTTATTCTTCTAAAAGAGAACTTTATTTGATTCTACCGTTTGTATGAGCACCTGTCAGGCAAAAGCATTATCATACCATAGCTTCCTCTATG